TAGTACCTGCCTACAAGGCTTTGTGAGGATTAAATGAGTTAATGCATTTGGAACACCGGAGCAGTGTCGGCGGTCTGTGTCAGCTATTGTCTCCATCCTCTTCCTCAAGGGTCCTGGTGCCCTTTTCTGATTCTGTTTATCAGCCCCTCACGGACTCAGGATCTTACCTTGAGAATTAGACGCCCAAGCACAGGACCATCTCTTTTCCATGACCCTTCAATCCTGTGTCAAGGACACAGGGCAGGTTTAAGATGAGCAGCAACTGCCTTCTGACCAGCATCGTAGGGGGGGAGAGATCCCTGCAAGGTTCTGGGAAGAGAAGGAGACAAATGACAAAGTGGTGGGCTCACGAAAGGGACCTGTGACAAATGACTGGAAGGACCGGGTGGACAGATGGAGAGGAGCAAAGGCCCCTGTCCTTTTATTGGAGAACTCCTTGTGGCTCCCTGAACAAGACAGTGGCTCCCCAGGGGCTGGGCTGAGGGTTGGTCTCTCTGGCTCTCTCTGCTGGGATGAGTAATATGGACCGGGGCAGAGGGTCTATATCAATCTAGCCCAGCAGAAAAATGAATGAAAATTGAATTCCCCAAGGAGAATTGGGGAGCTGTTATCCAGACAGAGATAAATCAAAGGATGCCACAGAGATGGGGAGAGCAGGTTTCCAGCCGCAGGAGAATAATTAAGGAAACAGTTTCAAAATGCAAATGACAAAAGGGGGTTGGAGAGGAATGAAGACAAGGAGGAGATGATTGGAGATGGGGTGACGGGGAGCTGGGGTGGCGAGTTCGCTGCCCGGGGAGAAAGGCTGGGGTTCAGGGTTGCTGGCCTCTGAGGGTGAACCCCCCCACTCAGTGAAGCCCCTAGAATGCAGGTCAGAGGACGCATAAGCCGGCTGTGTGGAGTGGAGAGAGCACCAGATTGGGAGTCAAAGGCTGGATTTAATTTGCAGTTGGCTCTTCGACTTATTAGCAGTGTGACCTTAGGTGAAGCACCTAACCTCTCTGTTTCCCGATCATCGTACCCAAGCCCAGGCATGGTTCTGAAGATCCAATGAGCGAAAATGTGCGGAAGAACTTTGAAAAATGTGAAGTGCTAGACAAATACAAGCTATAATCATTTTCCTAAATTGAGTTTCTGGAAATCCTTCCCTCAGAACTGTATCCACTGACATGTTAGGTTCCCAGAAATGTAATGTGTAAATGTCCAGAAAGTACTGGATACTCTTACCAACTTATCGATCAACTGTCCTGACAACTGAGACCCGGGCAAAGGCACATCACCACTGGCCCGTTCTCTGGTGCCCACCGTCCAACCAAGCCACAGCCAAAAGGCACAGGTCAGAGGTCACTCTGAGAATTGCTGTTCCTAGGAGGTCATCTGCCAGCCCTGGGCTGCTTTCTGGGAGAACCACCCCCCCTAGTCAGCTCAGATCCACCTGAGGGTCTACCTGTGGGATGCAGCCATTCCCGCTTCTCTGGGGATAGAGACCAGCTTAGCCTCTGTTAGCCTCGGCTTTTCCATCCACCAAGGAGGTGTAATAACACCACTTAACAAATTGTAGTGAGGAATAGATAATTATGCAGGTAGAAGCACTTACCTTTCAGCAAATATTGGTTGTTTTATGACCACAGTATACAATTGTATTGCTATTATTGTTACTATCAGCAGTGGTAGGCACTGAGGATCTATTTAAGGAAGTTTTCACTGGGGTTTCATCATTAGATAGGAAAGTGGAGGTCCCAGGAGGGAAGTGACATGTCTTGGCAGATGTCAGTGGAAGACCTTGGGGATGGGACCCAGCTCACACCAGGAGACAAATGCCACTAAAATGTCTTGGCACGTGGAAAGGGCATCTATTGGCTGAGCTGCTGACTGCTGCTGACAACAAGTCCCAGGACTGAGAGCCGAGTGGACCTCCCAGAGTTCTTCGCTATTGGGTAGAAGTGACAATGGCCTCCCCTGTATCAGCGCTGGGCACAGGACAGTCCCCACCACAGTGATGCTGCCCCTCACCCAGTGACAGGCTAGTGACATGCAATGAAAAGAGGGCAGGATCTGGGCAGGTTCATACCAGGGGAGCAGGAGCTGCAGAGAGCATTTAAAATATGTAATTCTAAATTATAAAAGTAATTCACATGGGCTCTGCATTTCACTGCACTTATTTTATCTTTTAATACTATTACTGAAAAAATACAACCACTTTACAGAAAATCTGGAGAAGTTCCATAATACATCTCCCTAGTATACTTTTTACCCTAAACAGTACTTTTAAATAGCATTTTGATATCTTCCCTTTCAGTTTTTTCCCCAATGGTTTTCAAAGTTTTTTTGGGGTCTGTTTTATAAAATAATGTGTTATTGAGGAAACTAAAAAATCTAAAAGAAAATAAAAATATCCACTGTACAGATAATCACTTTTATATTTTAGTATATTTTTCATCTATGCTTCTCTTAAAAAAAATCATAAAATTCATATTGCTCCATATTCTCTTTTCCTCCCCTAATAAATCTCAGTTTTCTGCATTACTAAATATCCTTCTGTTGTAGTTTCCAATGACTACATAACATTCCATTTTATTTACTCTAATTTGTCTAATAATCCCCTATTGTTGGATATGTAGGTTATTCTCTTTTAAAAGTGTTATAAACATCCCTGCAACTATACCCTTTTAAATATTCTTGATTATTTCTTGTAGTTAAATTTCTGTATGGATTGAGTCAAATTTTTAGGCAAGAAAACATATTGCCAAAATGCTCTCAGAAAACATTGTTCCTTTTTGCATTCCCACCAGGATATTGTTTTCTAATTTCTGAACACCTTTGCCAGCAATGGGTATTATCACTGCTAACATTTTTACATTTAATAATCATACAATATTGCACCCTGTTTTTTAAAAACAATTAGTCTTCATTCCCATGTTGCTAGATTTCATAATTAGTTTCAATAATTGCATAAAATATTACCAAGCAAATTTTACTTCACTAAACATCATTTATTTTGTTGTGTATTTGGGATATTTTTCTCCAAAATGTAATGCTGTAATAATATCTTCATGTATAAAACTATTTTTAAAAATTTTATTATTTCTGTGGAATTACATGAACTAAAGAGTATGAAAATGTTATGGATTTGATGCATACTGCCAAACTTTCTTTCCAAACGGATGTAAGAGTTTAGAGGTATACCAGCAATACCTGTGAGAGTACAAATTTCCAAGCACCTTTACCAGTACTGAATTCTACGATTCTTCCCCAGGTGGTCATTTAACAGACAGAAAGAGGTATGTACTGTGATGTTTTGTTTTGCTTCTTTGAATTGCTAACAGAGGCTGGCATTTCCTTCTGTTTGTTTACTAGTTATATTTTTGTAGAAAACATTTTGGAAAATATTGAAAACGTCCAGGGTTCTTTGCTGTTTTCTTGGGGACTGGAGTCACCTCACAGGTAAACAGGGAAGAAATGATGCCAACCCAGTGCCAGTAGACATAGAAGTCATTGTAACATCATTGAAGACAAATTCTAAGCGCAGACCGTCGCGCCATCTCCTCCCACCCCAGCCCTCATGCTTGTCCCTCTCCAACCCTGGTGTTCCCTCTTTGGGGACAACACGGGGGTGGGGGGCAGGGGACGTACTGTTTTTCTTCCCACTCGAGCTGGACCCACGAGGCTGGGAGGACATATCTCTCTGCATCTCTGGAACGAAAACTCAGCAGGGGGTGTCGGGAGGGCTGGCGTCGGGGAAGCCGCTAGGTCCTGCTGCCACCGGGCTGGGTTTCCCGCGCCTGCAGTCAGGCGGCGTCGAACCTGCACGGAGACCTGCTCCAGCAGCGGGCCTTCCTTTTTATTTCCTCCAGGAACTTGCGTTGAGAATTTAAGCATTTATGTGTGTCTTGTAATTACAATAAGCAACACATGCCCCTTCGCTGGTTAGCCCCGGGTGTCCTGCCTGCACGCACGAGGTCGAGATTTGTTCAAAGCGCCCGCGGTTGCAGCGGGCGAGGCAGAACGGTCTTTGGGGACCGTGGGTAGGACCGAGCTGAGTGGACGAAGGCAGAACGGCTTGGGAGGCCCTGCTGCCCAAAGGCGAGGGGCCCCGACCCGGCGATGAAAGAGGACAGAGCGAACTGCAGGCCCAGCGTGAGGGGGCGCGCACCGTGGGCGGTGCCCCCTGCCATCTCCGCGCACAGTCCCTGGGCCCCTTCCCCCGCCAGCCGCTGCCGGCTGCGTGACTCGCGCGTTCCAGGCCGAGGACCCGCTGTCCCTGGCCCAGCCTCAACCAGACGCGGGGGAGAGAGCAAGGGCTGAGGAGCGCCGACAGGAAAGGAATTGGCCAGAGAAGAAGAGGAGGAGGAGGAGGATGGAATCTGATTACGGAGCGTGCTCGGTCCGGTGGAGAGAAGCCCAGCGCCGAGAGCGCGCGAGGGGAACACATCGTGGTGCAGCTCCGGCCACCGGAGGGTCTGCCCCGCCCTTCCCCGCCCCTCGGTCCGAATGGAGGGGCGGGGAGGACGCGAGCCGCCGACCAGAGCCCGAACCCCCGGAGGACCCGCAGGAACCTGCCCGCCCTGAGCGCCGCTGTCCGGGACCACCTGCTGCCGCTGTCCAGACCTCCGCAGTATTTATACCCGGGGAGCTAGCCGCACCGCCAGGAGCTGGGTGGGGGTGGGGGGCTGCTCGAGAGGCCCCTCCCCACTCCATGCGGCCCCGCCCCTCCCGCACCGCCGGCCCCACTTGGGTCGCCAGGACCCCTACTCTGACCGGTGTCCGCCGCTCTCTGCCGGGTGGGGGGAATTGGCTCAAGGGCGGGCCTCCCTGCGGAAAGCGACGTCACGGCCGTTCCTGCAGTGTGAATGAATCAAAATGCCTGGGTGACCGCGGCCTCCCCGGCGTCCGGCACGCGAAGGGTGGAGGGGGAGGGGGAGAGAAGCGGGCGGGGGAGGGAGGAGGGGAAAAAAGCCAGGGCTGCAGCAACAGCGTCTCAACCGGGATGTGCACCAACCCGGGAGAGCGAGATCAAAGGGATTTGAAACAGACTGAAGACTGGCGGGGGGAGGGGGCCAGCCAGCCTGTGGAATCCTCCTGGAGAGGCGGAGGGGTCCGGCTTCCACCGTGACTTCGGCGGCCTGGTTGGGTTTTTTATTATTATTTTCAAATTTCTGAATCCAGCTTGAGCGAGCGAGCGAGAGATCTCCGTAGACTGCGACTCGCTGGCTCTCGCTCCGAGATGATGCAGAGCGCAGCTGTCCCCGCGGAGGGGGCTGTCAAGGGGCTCCCGGAGATGCTTGGTGTGCCGATGCAACGTAAGACACCCCCCTTTCTCGCTGATTTAATTTAATAACAAGACAGCCAGCAGCCCTGACCGGTGCGGGGCGGGCCGGACGCTGCGCGTAGCCTGGACCGGAGGGGCCGGGCGGGGCGAGGGGCCGGCGGCCCGGGCTCAGAGGCGGTCATGGGGCAGGGCGAAGGGCCTGGCTCTTGGCTTTTGAGGCTGAAAGTGAAAGCCTCCCAGATCCGAGGGTACCGGACCCCTCATCCGCAGCCCATGGCTTTTCTAGGACCACTGGGGAGAGTGCTGTTTGGGGACACCAGGGAACAAGCTGCAAGGCAGGCCTGAGGGCTGGGGTGGTCTCCCCAAACCATCCTCGCCCCCACCCCCAGGGGCTGCAGTCAAAGATATCAGTAGAGCTATAGCAACTTCACCCTAGCTGGCGGGAAGTTGGAGAGCGCGTCCCCCGCCCCCCGTGGCTGGCAGCGCGGAAGCCCAGGCCACACGTTCTGTCCCCGAGCGCAGAGCGCGCGCGCCTGGTGCGTCCCCGGCCGCTGCTGCTCCCAGCGCCCGCCGCCTGCGCCGCCGGGGCTGCCTGCTCCTAGAGAGGAAATCCACTCGCCATATTCCATCTAGCCAAGGAATGCAAAGGAGAGAGAAGCACCAAGACGAAGTTATGAACTCAGGGAACAGCTTTTGTGCACGCGAGGGTAGGCTCTCAGGAGGTCTCTGACTCGGAATGGGAGAGACCATGGTGCGTAGGCGCTTTGCTCGCCCTCTGGCTTTCTTTCCCGCTCCCGAAATTAGCAAAGCGGCCGGAGCTCTGGGCATGTTTATCACAGGTCTGTGTGTGTATAGGTGTGCGCGCAGGGATTTTTCCAGAGGGAATCTGTCTCTGTCCCCACTCCTGAACCGAGAGTCTGCGGTAGAGAATCTGTGCGGAAACCCGAGCAAGACCTGGAGCGTCGCGCTCGTGGTGGGGGCAGCGTGAGTCCTGCCCCACAGGCTGGCGGGATCTTTGGAACGCCCCTGGGCACCGTGGAGAGACGAAGGGTTCTTTCGCTCTGTTTGCCAAGGGGCTGTGCTTCCGCCCGCGACTTCTTTAGTGGAGCGGTAACTACATCCTGTAGGTTTATTTTAAGTAAGGACCCGCTAGATGCTGGCTGCCTATGAACTAGGGCGCACGAGCGCGCCCTCCTGCGCCCCCGGTCTCCATGGCAGGGTTTCTGTCCCGGCCAAACCTCAAAGGGCAGGCTGACAAGCGTGTACACCCGGCTTCCCGGGAAGTTCCTGAGAAGGGACTAGAAGAGCATTGCTTCACCCCAAACCTATTTAGGTTGTTTCTTGACTATATCCTAGTTATCCTTTGTGCCTCATTTTGTCAACTGCTGACAAACAGTTCCACGTCAGCGCGGTGCCTTGGAGAGTTTTCTTACTAAGCTGTATAGAAGGTGATGGGGTTCACTGCCCCTTCCTGTCCCCATCCCACCGCAGGGAAGGAGTAGGTTCTATGCCCCTGCACAAACACAAACCCTAGCAAAGGTGCTCCAAGTCCCTAAGCTGATTGCAAGTCCTTCAGCTCTGCGCAAGTCAGGGGAGTGTGTGTGTGTGTGTGTGTGTGTGTGTGTGTGCGCGCGCGCGCGCGTGTGTCTCCTTGTAACCCAGTACTCTGTGCTTTAATAGTTGGGGTCCATACATGGCCTATTAGGACTGCATGAAGGACGGTTGGGTGGGCTGTGCTCTGCCAGCTTTCCTCAGATGGGATGTGGACACCTCTCTGAGATGGTCTCATTTTTTGTTTCTCTTACCCAGAAACAACTTTGATTTCCACGTCAGAAACTTCATTTCCTAAAATGCCTAGAACTCACTTTCAAAGCCAGGGCTCCGAGTCTGGGTTGGAACTGTGGAAAACTTCATAGGGTAGAGAGGGGGATGCCTCCAGCACGGTCAAGGGAGGCAGTGCCCAACCAGGAGGGATGGTCTATCCTTTTGTCTTGCCCAGGTTCTGTGGCCTGGGTTGGCCTGGGAGACTTTGGGATGCAGCTTCCTGCCCCCCTCCCCCTTTTAGGACGTGTGTGGATTGTATCCTACCCCATTGCAGCAAATCTGGCAGCTGCCTATTAAGCTCTTGGTGCTGGAAACTGGGCATAGATGGGGCGGGGCCCCCTCACATACAACAATTCTCTTTTCTGGGACAGGGGCTGTGGCTTAAGAACTCCATGTGGGGATGGGTGAGGGACATGTTCTTAGGCCTCCAGGATGAAGGATAATCCCAGCCCTGTGGGTGTGTAAATCTGGTGTGTGGGGGGGGGGGGGGGGGAAGGGATCACAGAAAGGTTCTCAAATAGGGGTCTCTCCAACCTGCCCACTGGAAGGTTTGGGTTGCCTCCCCCCCGCCCCCCCCACGCACAACACATGTTCTGCTCCTTCACCCTGAGCCACCACACTTGGGGCACTTGGGGGCGCAGGGTTAGGGATCCCAACCTCGGTGCCTCTGGTGCTCCAGAACATTCTTTTGCTTATTTGGGGATGAGTGAGGTGCATGCACTTTAGAGAAACGTTGCCAAATAATGTAATAATTTCTCTTTCTCTCGGCGGTGTCCCCTGCTCGCTCCGGGGTGGATCCTGGTTGGCGCGGTCGCCCTCTTCCTGCTTTCCGGCGCAGAGGTGGCGGGGCCATCTGGGCCTCGTGGCTCCGACAACCCCTGGGCCCCGGATCAGGCCCGCGCCGGCTGGGACTTTGCGGAGACAAGTTGGCGGGGGTGGGGGTGCGGGGGATTGTCAGGGTTTGAGGCGGAGAGCCTGGGACAAGAAGCTCGGGAGAATCGGAGGGGGCGGCTGGGGATCAGCCCGGAGCTGGCTGGGGTGGAGAAGTAGAACCCTAGCCCCTTCCATCCCGGACGCTGAGCTAGACAGTCCCTCCGCCTCGGTCAGTGTTTCCTAAGGAACTCAGGACCCGGGCTCCCTGCTCTGGGCGGCAGGAGGCGGCACCCTCGCGTCACATCCAGGAAGAGCGGAGGGCCCCTTTGAAAGGGTTCAGTGTTGTTTTTGTTTTTGTTTTCCCTTTCTAGACAGGTGGATAGGTTCGGAAAGCAACCTCGTCCTAAGCTGCGGGCCCCAGCTACTTGGACGACAATTTAGGGTCGCGGGTACCTCTCGGTCCAGGCACACCCTGCCTCTGTCCGGTCCTCCCCTCTGCCTCCCTCGGAGCGGTAGGAGCGTCAAGGTCCCAGCCCTCACTGCTCCCGACCCGGGCAGCCTTGGGGGCAGCGAGCGCCTCCCGCAACCTCTCACCTACCGAATTCAGCAGTCCTCCAACGCGCCTGCGTCCTGCTGGCCCCTCTTGCCGGCCAAGACGCCTCGAAAGTGCGGGACATGTATGGAGGTGGGTGTTGTGTCCACCCCTTGCCCACGTAGTCTCTCTCCCAGGCACCCAGGGAAAGGGCAACGGACCCCGGCTGCCCCTGAATACCTGCCAGAGAGGGCCAACCGGCGGGAGGAAGGAGAGACCCTCCCGGTCCAGGCTGGGGTGGTAAATGGGGAGCAGGCTCAGAGCGTCTCCCGTCCCTTCCTTGTCTCCTAAAATACCTACTTCTTGCAGCTCTTGAACCTCGAAGTTTGGGAAAAGGGTATTTGATTGAGCGTTCGGTAGGATCTGGGCAAAGGATTTCTCTGGGACACCCCGCTTCTCTTTCTTCTCTTTCTTCTCTCTGCCAGCTATAAATCTCCCAGCACCTGGCCTCCTCCCCACGTTATCATCCTCTTGCAGGTCATTTTGCAAAGGGTGGAGCGAACTCATTTCCCGGGCCCAGAGTTCTCGAAAACTCCGAAGCAGGGATGCGCCCTTTCCATTCCTGCCTTTTCTCCAGATGCAGGGTGGGGGTGGGGGTTGGGGGCACGAGAAGTCATCATTTAGATATTCTCTCAGATTCCGATACAGACATTCAAACAGCTGTCTCCGACAACACAAACCTCCTTCCCGCGTTCCAGAAATATTTTCAGGAGCGAACCAAGACTTAAAGGTCAGATTGGGTGTCCCCGCCGGCAGATTCGGGCGTCGCGGGTTACGGGTTCGGGTTCTCTCCCCGCGAGGGTCCCGCTCCAGCCTCGGGCCAGAGCTGCGCACCGCCCAGAGGGAATGTGGCGAAACCAGGGTAACCCCAGCAGCGCTAGCTTGGGGCGGAGGGTGGCCGAGGAGCCCGAGGGGCTAGAGGACGCCCGCCGCCTCCTTTCCTCGCCCCCATTAGAGAGGGCAGGAGGGCGGAGCGGAGCCGCATTGACGATTTAACCCGCACCAGGAGCCGGCAGGTGGGTGGGTGAGGGCGAAGGTCTGCACTGAGCGGTCCCTGGTGTCCAAGGAAGACAGAAAGTCGGGGCTGAGAAGAGGAAGGAAAACCTCCGAGTGTTTCCTCGCTTGATCCGGGCTCGCGGAAAACCAGAGCCTGGCGGGGCTGAGAGGGAGCAGCGTCTTCGGGTCCGAGAGCGCGACCTGCGTGACCTCGCCGCGACCAGGGCTGAACTCCTCCGCCCCGCGGGCAGGTGCCCATCTGGGTGGCCTGGGACTGACGCTGAATTCCTTCTCCAAGCGTTTGCTGCGCACCTGTGCGCGGCGCCGGGTCCCTAGCGCTCTTACCGCCTGTGCCTGGGTTTTGGAGGGCTCGCCAGGAGAGGTGGGTGCGGACGGTGCTCTTTGGGGGAGAGCCGGCCTGGCTGCCACCGTGTTCCGCAGCTCCGGGTAGACAGAGGTCGCAGCTGCGAAGGGGGCAAGAGAGGGCCCGAAGCTGTGCCCAACGCACGCCGCAGTCGGCATCCCCACGCCTCGGCCCCTTCCCTCCGTCCACCTTGCCCATTCCTTTTCCCGTTTTATTCTCCCGGATGGCCTCGAGCGGGTTGGGATTGGCCAAGCCTGGGACGCGTGTCCAGCCGCTTTGGAGCAGAGGCAGAGACTTTTCTCCGCGGGGAGAGGCGCGGGAGACGGATCGCGGGCAGCGCGCCCTGCGAGGGAGGCAGGGTGGAACCCTCTCTTCTTCCCCA